CCGGACCTGATGGCTCTGAGATCTTGGATTCCAGTAATGGCTGCCGTTAGCAGTCCAGAGGTATATAGTCAAAGGTTAGAAGCATTACAGGAAAAGGCCGAGATGGCCGCTCTCAGGTTTCTCTCTGCTTCGACCGATGACCAGAGAGAACCCTGAGAGAGGCCACGCCGGTCTTCTTCCTGTTACCGTCAAAATCACCCATACACTACCGCCATTACACTCATTTTCAGATTGGAAATTACGTGACTAATATATATACACTTTCCAACACTATCGATAAAATCGTATCGTTTACAGTAGATGTGGTTCGCCTCTGTACTAAATCCTCAGGCACCGACGAGATATTATTAAAGACCGTCAACTCTGGGCAAATTTTCGGCGGTATAAAAAAGGCCCCAAGGGCCCGGAGGTAATTCAAGAACGCCGACATTACCGACAATTGATATAAATGCTATTATTAACATAAATATTTGGCACATGCATTATTAAATTCATGAATTTTTATTACATAAATGTCCCATAAGTAAATATACATACTTGTAGAGCTGTAATATCCTATATATTACAAAAAAATCGCAATTTTTTCTCTGCAATTATATCATCTTTATTGATAATTAAATTTTGATGATAACACTGAAATCTCAATTTTAAAGAAAAATCGAGTATTATTGAGTTATAAATGCATAAATACATCTACTAAACTAATAAATCATAAGATTAGTATAATATTATCAGTTTTTAACTCATAATCACACTTCAATATTCACAAGGACGCGAACTGCCGTAAGGATTTCGGTCTTTAATAGTATCTCGTCGGTGCCTCAGGACAAAAGCGTGCCGACTATCCATAGGAAGGATAGTTTAATGGGACCTCGAACGAAAACATTTTAATTTCACATCTTTTCCATATGTAAATAAAAGTTGTTGAATTTTAATAAACGAAATTGAAAATTCAAACAAGTTAATTTAATGAAATTTATTTTATAATATCTTATAACATTACGAAGTTAAGTTTCTTTATGCCAATTTTCAGCCCATTTTTACCAGACCTAATTACTAGTATGCATCAAAGTCTCTATAATTACTAGCAATATTATATATAGAGGTTTTTAATAAATTCAATCTCTTCTAAACATATATTATTAATTTAAGGTATAATTTAGCAAAAACGAGATATAGAGGCCCTCCACCACCCTCACCAATTTTAAGCGGCGGTCCACTTTTCTTTGTAAGTATACTCAGCCATAAAACAAACAAGCTACTAATCAATTTAGTAGCCCGTTTTTGTAGGTAAGTATACCTTTAATTTATTTTTTTATTTTTATGTCTAATTATTTTATTGTATTTCGCTAATAAAATTGCGATAATTTTTTAAATATTATTCTTTGTATTATTCCTTTATACAATTCGACATTACAATTACAACAATTATTTACAATACAATTATTAATGCTGTTCAAAATATAATAAAAGTGATAATATAGGCCCATAATTAAAAAATTTTAGTAATGCGAGATTATACGAAAATGTCGAAAATATGTACGATAATACAAATTTTTCTAAACCAAGGTTTAATGAAATATTAATAAATGCAGAAGAAATACTAACAACAATTAGATCGTACTTACTATTAATTATTAATTTGCGAATATAAAATTTAATAATATTTTATTAACTTTCAAGTTACACAATTTGAACTTAATTTCATGACATTACATTAAATTTAATGTAAGTATAACTAAAAAGTATATTTGTGTACATGTACATAAAATTTAATATAATTTTCATGGAAATTTATGAAATTTAATGTACTATACATAAAATTTTATTAAAAGTACATTAAATTTTTTAACTTCATTCATAACCACGAGTTTCATTTACATGTAAAAGGAGTTCGTGGTTACATTTCTAACAGTGTGAGTTTACAATGATGCGAATAAAGGAATCAATACTCTCGTTATAAGTTCACACTTTGTCACATTATCCTGCTTAATTTTTCCTTTAAATTTGGCTTACTAAAATTTCTCTATTTTCTAACGCTAATCTTTAGAAATTCGGATCTATAAGATTCGCCAGAGAATCAGACATACATAACTAAATTTATCCGAATAACAACACGATATCAATCAGTTATAACATGTTCAATTTAAGGAAACGGATGTATGCAACGTTATACATATATGTGTTCGTATATTGTTAATAAATCCATGCACTCATGTATTCAGGTACATAATATGCCAATGAAATTACCATACATTCATTACCTCAATAAAAACGTAATTCATTCATCACTCACCGACCAGATGCGCAACGCAGTGGAGTTATATCTGCAACGTCGCTACGATGATTCTGTAACAAAAAAGGTAAAATTCAAATTAAAACAGAGTAAAGAAATAATCATTACTTAAGAAAACAATTGCTATATGAACACGTGCAGTTTGCTGAAAAATAATCACGCAATTTTGGAAATACAATTTTTGTAAGCATCGAATTTTGTACCCATTGTTTAATTAAATAGAAAGCAGTTATATATTCTTTAAAATAATTATATATATTCTCTCAAATAATTATATATATTCTCTAAAGAAGATCTTAGCAAAAATAAATTTGTATAAAATTGTTAAGTAATTTCTTTTTGTATAAAATTTCAAAGTAATTTTTAAGTAACTCACCTTTTGTTTAATTTTAACAAGTTGAAAATTACTTTCAAATTTTATAAAAATTGATTTTTACTAAGATCTTCTTTAGAGAATATATATAATTATTTTAGAGAGTATGTATAATTATTTTATCTAAATATTTTAGGTAACTATCCTTTTATCTAATTTAAATAAAAGGAGAATTATATACTTAAAAATCACTATAAAAGTTTATACATTTATTTTTACTAAGATCTTTAGAGAATACGTATATAATTATTATAGAGAATATATATATGGGGCATTCTTTACCAAATCGATCAAGCCTCTGTCCAAAATTGATATGGACGGATTTCAACGTTTGACCCCGGAAAATGTTCGTCTTGAAAAGAGCTTTTAAATGAACCGTAAAATTATCAAAAAATAGGTAGATTTCATCGTATAAAACAGGTAACAACAAACATAACAAATAAAAAACGTTTTATAC